CGCATCGGGTCTCGCAGGTCGGCTCTCGGCGTATGCGTCGACTTCTCCGGGGCGAAGACGGCGTACATCGTCTGCTGAAGGGGCAGCTGAATCTCCACCCTCGGGGCCCGCCAGTCCAAGATCGCCAGACTCTCTCGCTTCTTGTTCGTCCAACAGCTTTTGGTAGCGCTCGAGACATTGAGTAGCCTGCGGAAAGTTAGCATAGTACTGGAAAAAGTGATAATCGCAACAGCGTACCGTTCGTCCAACAATAGGCGCAATAGTCCTCCATTGAGTGGGGAGGAGTTTGGCCATCGTCAGGAGCTTCTCATCTTCTTCTCTCGACCAGTCCGTCTTCCGGATGGCGGGGTCGATCCAGTTGGTCCAGCGCGACTTGCATTGCTTCGCGCTCTTCTTGGACAACAGCGAGGCGCATCGCGACCACTGGTTCAGCCCATATTTGCTGATGGCGGCCTTCAAGACCTCGTCCTCGACGTTGGACCAGGAAGATGTGACGACCATATTGGATGGCTTCCGGGGGGTATCGTGGGTTGGCGCGCGTGTCGTGAGCGATGGTATCCTCGATCGCGAAACTGAAAATGGGCTGCAGCCACTAGCGTCTTGGCAGTCGCAAGCACCGCGTGGAAACAGCAAAGTGAAGTACGGACAGCTTGCAGAACGACCTGGAGTTGAGGCCAGCGGTTAGTGATATTGATGCGCGGTTCTCTTCTGAGGAGAAGTCATCATAGCGGTCCACACAATGCAGTCGCGGCGCAGGCACCAGACTTTCACGTGCGCCAGACGACCGTGGTCACAGTGACGTAAATCCATCATCTCCATCTTCCCATAGTCCTATTGCTACGATTTCACTACACACTCTCTTGGCCATATATTCCCTCTACCATGGTATCTCTACGGCAAATCACGGGGCGCGTCCCTATTCTTTCTCTCACCACGCCATCCTCAAGAGCGTCCTGCCGACAAAATTTACCTACAGTCACCCACAACAGAAATTATTCCGATGCGAGCTCCAACACCTACACTCCAGTGAAAGGCGATACTCAAAAGGTCGATACCAAGCTGTCCGATGAGACAAAGCCCAAGAAAAAGACACAGGCTGAGCTCGATGCCGAGGTGATGGCAAAGCTACAAGGACATGACAGCGAGGGAGGAGAAGCCGGAATCGAGTATGAAGATGGAAAGCCAGCCTCGATGAAGAGAAGCGTGAAGAACAACATGTTTCGTTACATATGATGCGACCCCCCTGCGAAACCTTTGCCAAATGAATTCGACCTTTGATAAAGTGTATGTCTCTATGCAATACACCCTTGCCTTCCGATACGCTAACGTTTTCAGACACGGTATTCACGTATACCACCACGAAATTTCCAGGCCAGGAGACTTCATGGGCGTTTGAGAAAAAGCCTTTTTGCTGCTACGCAGCATGGCGTCCTGAACGACGAGCTTCACGCGAGTAGCACAATGATCACAAGTAGACATCGCCTAAGGGGCCATTGTCTGGGGTTCCAAAGTCCAAAAGAACCTGAGCGCAGCCTGACTGAATTCAATTCGCCTTGTAATTATCCCGCTTGAGACGCACGAGAAAAGCTTTGTGCTTCTCATATGTTATGGCAAAACAAGAAGCTGCGAAACTTTGTAGTTGTGGATACATATATCGAATCTCGGTGCTGGCGCATTCGAACTTGGTGAATGACAATACGCTAAGGTGCACTATTTGAGTATTCTATCGCCAAAAGAAGTGCAACATAATTTTGTGTGATGCCTTGGTCCAGGTTGCCAACCCGAATATTTGCCTACGTCATGAGTGACCAAGCTACCAACATCACTACTCACGCCAGATCATCAACACAAACAACCAGCAACTTCGCATGCAAGAACTCTGTACACCCTCCCTTCTAGAGTTTCAGTCTAGGGGTAACACACCATGGAGCACTTTGCCCCTCACCCATCCTCGCAATTTGAGGGCTACTACTCCAAATTCGACCTCGCATCTGGCTCGCACATCGCTCTGATAATATGCTCCGTTCCCGGTGCCGAATCACGCCCACACATGGTCTCCTTCACATACTATCCCTCATCAGGCCATCCAATTTTCCAGCGCGAGCATTTCGTCGACAACATCGAGCGCGTGACCACCAATGAAAAGACCAAAGCATTCGACCTCCGCGTCCCAGGCATGGGAGTGATGAGCACAGACGGCAACGGCCGCACAAGCTACAAGTTTGCCGCCGAAGATGGAAGTTGGGCGCTCGAAGCGCAATGTGAGGAGGACTACATGCCGTGGAGAAAAGACAAGAGCACGCCTGAAGGATGGATGATCAACCTCCCCTTTCCACTCCACTGGCATGTCCATTCTCTCTGCTCACCCGCCACATTCACCCTCGATATACCCGCGCTAGGCGAGGCTTTCCCAGTGCAGGACAAGAAAAGCCGTGCGACGATCCACCAAGAGAAGAACTGGGCTAACAGCTTCCCGGACGCACACATGTGGGTGCAAGCCTGGGACAACGAAGAAAAACGCGGCATCTGCCTTGCCGGCGGGAAGATCATGTACAACACCGCCTACATGCTCGGTTACCGGTCTCCTTCTCTCAACTTGGACTTTGTGCCGCCGTTCTCAGTCTCGTATCTCAACCTCCTGAGTCCCTTCATGAGCGCCACGAATGACTGGGACACCCGGACTTTCTCGCTATCCGTGTCAAACTACTTCCACAAGTTGGAACTTAAGGCGCATGCGCCGAAGGAGCCGGGCTGGTTTGGGCTTGCGAGTCCGTTTCCTGATGGCCATCGAGCGAACTTTTGTAGGGAGAGTTTTATTGCGACGATTGAGGCAAGAATATGGGTGAGGGAGGGGTGGTGGCCGTGGAGCGCTTGGAAGGAGGTCAAGACGGAGAGGTGGGAAGGGGCGAGTTTGGAGTTTGCGGGGGGTTATTATCCGGAGAGGGGGGAGAGTAAGGAAGACTGAAGACGTATGAGTGGAGGTGTATGAGGTGGTGGTAAAATTGATGTGAAAGTGATAGGAAAGTTAACTCATGCAAATATCCATTGTACATGGGCCAGACAGATGGACTCTGAAGGCATCTCGCCAAGTACATCTCAACCGTTCTAATGTTCAGAGCTTCGACGGCTTCTTCTCCCTCGGCTTAATCAAAGCATTCAACTCCTCGACAAACCGTTCAGGCAACACACTCCTATCCACGCCTTGCTTCCCATCCCATTCCTCCTCCGTCTTGCGTTCCCAATCCCAATACCTCTTCATCTCCTTGCCTACCCAATTGCTAATATGATCCGCACTCTCCTCCACCTTCTCCATGGGGATCAAATGCCCAGCATCTCGTACCGTGACATTCGCTACTCGTCCTTCAGCGCGTCCGCCACTGCCGCCAACACCGGACCCAGTCAGACGCATTTTATCCTCGATGACGGCATCATCCGTGAGGAAAGAGTGTTCGCCAAAAATGTAGAATACCGATGGCCGGATTGAAGGTAGCTGGTTGAAGACGATGGTGCTTTCGCCCCGGTAGAAGGGCGTCTGGGGTTCACTGGTTGGCGTAATATCCGCATGCGTCCTCCGGTTCAACTTCGGGTTGCTCAATGTGAATTCCGCAGATGACGGTTCCTTGTCTCCTGGTCTTGCGGTGAAGTTTGGGCGTAGGAAAGTCATTACTTCCTGGTGCTTGGTCGTCGTCAGAGTTACCTCTGGTTTCTTCGCGTCGGGAAACAACTTTGTTGGTGCGTCTCGCAAACCGTACTGCACCCAGAGATCAAGGACTCGTGGATCCCACGTTTGGTAGAACTTGCTCTTGCCGAAACTCTTGGCTGCTTCTTCGCGTGAGGGCCAGCGCTCGCGTCGTCGTGATGATGCGGCGGCTGGTCCGACGTTGCCGTTTAGTGAGACTTTGCCTTGGATGACGGGGTCGATGAGGATTAGTGTCTCGAAGAGACGGGGGTGCAGCAGTGCGAGGTTGGCGAGTTGGCAGCCGCCCATGCTGTGGCCTACGCCGATTATAGGGCGAGGCATCTGGTCGCGGAAGATGTTTACCATGTGAAGTAGATCTCTGCTATGATCAAGCCATGCCGCTACATGGAATTAGCGTATCGATCGCGCAGTTGAAGACATGTACATACGGTCATTGCCTAGCTTAGCTTCGTTCAGAACGCTGCTCATGCCTTGGTGCACGACATCTGCTATCCAGATCCCTCTGATCCCGAAACCATGTTGCTGACACCTCTTCAGGAGCTCATCCCACAGTGGCTCGTACAGCTCTTTCGGGAATCCATTCGCATGCGCTGCGATGATGGTGATGTCTCCAGGTTTCGGGCTCGTATTGTTGAGAGGTGTGTATTGCTTGACGGCGAGATATAGGACTTCCTCTTGCTTCGTCGATGTGGAGCGTGGGAAGCCACGGATGTGTGATGCTTCTATCTTGTGCTCATCTATACGAAAGTGCTTTGAAGACATGTTCCTGCTGACTGCGGCCGAGATATAATGAGATGACGGACGGTCGGACAATCGGACAATCGGACGACGAATATACTTTGTATGCAGGTCGAAATGTTATAAATGTTGTACGTGTTCAGCGAGATGGTAGAACGGAATGATACGCTTAGATCACAGAAAGGCGCCTATGCTTCAGGTGTCGTGATTAGCAGCCGGCGCAATCTGGGGAATGCCGAGGTCCATCACGGCTTCTGTTCTCCCCACAGAACCTCCACATAGAAGTGACAAAGAGATACTCGCGCTTGAAAGTCATTCCGAATGGACATCACGCATACGCGCGCTTTTCTCAGACTGCAAAAAGACACTAGTCTGGGCAGGACTCACCGGGGCCGCTATCATGACGGATCCAGCGTCGAAGTGTTTTGGTGGGGCGTCACGTGGGCCTTGACGCGTTCGTGCCTCCAAAGTTCGCGTGTAGCCGTGTCGCATCGCGCCTTCGAATCCAACAGCGACAGCGACCACAGTCCACACATACAACACAACACCCTCATTCGCAGCCATGGAAGACACCACCATGCTCGAGGGCTCGCAGGGTCTGTTCGAGGAGCTCAATTTCACGATATACCCCAACGGCCTCTCAGAAGAGCGCATGCGCCAGGTATGCGACGCGTCTGATCAATTTAAAAGTATTGCTAACCGACGGCATAGATCGAAGATGCAATCACAGGCGCTCGCGGAACAATCGTACCCTTCAACATAACCAAAGGCCGCATAGATAACCTAGAAGAAATCAGCTACATCGTCTCGGAGACAGCCGACTTCCCCGACTACTACCGCGCCCTCGATCTCATGATACATGTCGTCAAGCCAACATGGATAGACGCGTCGCTCCAGTCCAACAAGGCCAAGAACCCGCGAACATACAGTCCCGATCCCGCACTCTTCATGAGCGAGGTAGTTATCTGCTGTGGGGACATACCGAGCGGTGACAAGGAAGCGATCGAGGGTGGTGTACTGGCATTGGGTGGGCAATTCGCACCGAGCCTCTCGAAATTTGTAACACATCTCATCGCACTGGATGTGAGCGAACCACGGTGTCAGCTCGCCATCAGTAAACGGCTGCAGTTGTCCATCGTGTTGCCCCACTGGTAGGTCCGAGTTGAGGGCATGGTAGTTCAGTTGATCTAACACCACACAGGTTCGGCGACTGCCTCAAAGTTGGCCGTAGAATATCAGAGCGACCGTATACACTTCCCGACCCCGAGATCCTCGCCGATATGGAGCCAGGCGCCATTCCTCCTACACGAGTGAGCCAGCACATTCGAGACGCAGCCACACCAGACCCTCAAAACGACCCCGTACCGCCGCCGCCTCACCTAGAGGCACCCCGCGCGATCAAAGCCTTCGATGGGAAGCGTGTCAAGCTTGGCGAGGATCTGAACATCAGCACCAAGCTCAGGAATATTATAACGGGCATGATCAAGGCTGGAGGCGGCACTGTTACCTCGAAGATCGATGATGCAGACATGTATGTTTGCAATTATCGAGAAGGTTCAGACTATGTCAAGGCATCGCAAGCGCGAAAAGACGTCGGAAACCTAGGCTGGTTATACTACCTCATCACACACGGTATCTGGACAAACCCAATGCAGCGCATGATGCACTACCCGCGGCCACGGGAAGGCATTCCGGGGTTCAACAAGTACAAAGTCAGCATATCGAGCTACACTGGCGAGGCCCGCATATACCTGGAAAACCTGATCAAGGCTACTGGTGCCGAGTTCACAAAGACCTTCAAGCAGGACAACACACATCTTATTGCTGCGCACAAGAACAGCGAGAAGTGCGAGGCCGCGGCGGAGTGGGGCGTCAACATTGTCAATCATCTGTGGCTGGAAGACAGCTACGCAAAATGCAGGGAAATGCCGCTGACTGAGGGCCGTTACACATACTTCCCAGCCCGGACCAACCTTGGAGAGGTGTTGGGTCAGACAGAAATCGATCGTGAGGCTACTGAGAAGATCTTCTTCTCAAAACAAGCCAAGCCCACAAAAGCCGTCAAAGTAGCACCGCAGACAAAGGACGTCCCAGCATCGAGCGTACCAGCACGGCAAAGCGAGCCTCCAGCACCTCGCAGTCCGCCTGCTGAGAAATCAAAGCGGGCGAAATCCGGAGGCAATGCACAAACACCGCTGCCACCTCGGCGTACCGATGGCAAAGAGAACCAGACGCCTGGCAGTCGGGGAGCCAAAGACCGCGCATTGGCAAAAATGCACGACGCTGCGCCAGACATTGCACAGTTCGAGAAGGAGATGAAGCGCAAGGGTGGTGTCATTCACGGTGGACGGCGACGGGCAGAAGATGAGATCGACGAGGGAACGAAGCAAGCAAAGGGCGGCCGTGAATCTGTCTCAAGCAAACGCTCCATCGATGAAGTCGACGATGATGACGAGACAGAAGACGAAGCCACAGAGATCCCAGCAAAGAACAAGCGAGCAAAGAAGGAGAAGCTTGCGCCCATCAAGTTCCGCATGCTGATCTCCAAGGACGAGCGATGGGCCAACAACCCCGAGAAGGAATCAAAAGACAAAGCCCGCCTTCGAGAGCTCGGCCTCTTCATCACTGACGACTTCAAGAAGGTAGACCTAGTCTGCGCCCCCCAACCCGTCCGAACGAAGAAGTTCATCGCAGCCCTAGCCTGCGCCCCCACCCTCGTATCAACCAGCTACCTCGACTTCGCGCTCAAAAACAACAAGCTCCCCCCGGCAGAAAAGCACCTCCTTCAAGCTAGAGACTTCGAAGAGGCCAACAACTTCCGGCTCTCCGAAGCCCTCTCCCGCGCCAAGCAGAATAAGCAGCGCCTCCTCAAAGGCTGGACAGTATTCTGCACAGAGAAAGTTGGCGGCGGCTTCGAAACCTACAAAGACATTGTCGAAGTCAACGGCGGGAAATGCGTGCTTTGGAAGGGCAGGCCAACGGGCGTCTCCGCTTCAAAACGTAAACTCGACACCTCTGACAAGGAGGTCAGTCAGAACCAGGTTGAAGACGAAGGAGACGTGCTGTACCTCATCTCCGACGCCGATAAGAAGGAGTTTACCAACTGGACTAAATTCCGCGAGTTGGCTAAGCGCGAGAACATGATTCCGCGCATTGTCAAGACGGAGTGGCTGCTTTCTGTCGCGATGACGCAGTATGTGCATTGGGACCCGGAGTGGGAGTTGAGTGAAGAGGTTGTTAATGCTGCGAAGAAGTAGGTCTTCGCTTGTCGCAACTGTTCAACGGCTGATGATGGATTAAGAGCGATGGGAGTTCGGGGAGCCGGTCCCGGGGCTCACATTCTGCATAGACTCGCTTCGTGCGGTCGTGATATGGATGCGGGTATCTGTATTGGTATGTTTTGAGCGGTTTAGTCATTGTTTTGTGTTGCATTGTTAGCGATAGGTCTACGGATGGGGAGCGTGTAGAGCGCTGGTTTGGCATGTATATCGAGAAAGCTTCACCTTGACGAATTACCGTGAGCACATATTGCAGCTTCCTACTTCACCGCCACAGTGATATCATGTGTGACTGCGTATCCCCTTTTTTCCGTTCATTGTTATCAAGGCTAACATATCCCCTGTGGCACCTTTTCTTGGCTCGATCCGTGGGTGCGGTAACGCGTACGGCACAGTCGGGCCATGCAAGAGGTCTTTGTGGCACAGCGATCCCCTGTGTGAACTTCGCCGCTTATTGAACTGTGCCGTGGGTCTGTTTTTCGGCTGTTGATCGGTGACGCCGAGATCGTCTTCGAGATCGCTGTTCAACCTGCGTCAGTGATGTAGAGGGTGTACAGCCAGACGTGATCGGACGTGCTAGCCTTTGGGATGTAATTCGGATACATGACATCTATGAGATTAACTCAAGGGCGAAGTCCTTTGTAACGAAATCAACGACTCTAAACTGGCTGGTTCGAGGTGACCGGCACAGAACGCATTCTCGGCTGTGTACTCTAATAAGGATGTAGGAGCTTTTCTGTTCACATGGTCAAATAGCTCTGGGGTGAATTCAGCATCGGATATGATGTCATCTGAAGCTTACATGTCTCATCCTAGACCAGAGCTTTTACCGGGGCTGGGGATCGATGCGCGTCGTTGGTGCTCACTCCGAGTGAGCCGAGATGCCAACACATACTACAACGACCAGGCGACCGGGATGCCACATTTGGGGGCGGATAGAGCTTAAGCTAGCCGCACTATAGCGATGAAGGTAAATTGCTGATGAGAAGCCTTGCATGCAAATGAAGTATACAAAGGATTGCACGACGGGGCGAAATTGCTTAGAAGGTATAATCAAATGACTTTTTGCTTTCATAAGAGACGAGATAGAAGTGTCTAGATAATACTCGACTGCGTGTTATGACAAGTGCAGGAGCGTAGACAGGGTATATAATAATGCTTGTGCAGAAAAGACCGCGGAAGCGCGAAACAACAGAATGAGAAAGTAAGACATTCAAACCTTCAGCTCGTAAACCTCCCCTTGACCCTTTACCCTAAGGGCCTACATGTATGCCCCTACCCCTTCTCTACTCCGACGTCGTGTGAATAATCTTCGGAATCTGTGGCATCGCAATCATAGGCGTCGACTCGTAGTACCGCGCCCGTTGACTCGCCGTACTCGTACTGCGTGCGCGCCCTGTTGGTGCCGGCCGTAAACTCATGTCACCCTCGTCTCCACTCGGCGATATGGGACTGAGTACCATAGTACTAAGCGTCCCGTTACTCTGTCGGCTCATCGCACTAACACCCGTACCAGCACTCTCTGTGTTATCGCCGATAGGATCACTAGCCTCCTCACTCGGCGTGACCTGTAGTGGAACGAGATGCATGGTATCTGTGCTGGACCTCTTGTTGCGCGCGTCCGCCTCTGAGTCGACGTATAGTGTGACGCTGCTTGCGCGGACGCGACTGAACATGCTGATCTTGTCTTCGTTGGCGAGGAGGCCGGCTGTGTCTGACTTGCGGTTGTCGAGCTTCTTCTTTTCGCTTCGGCGGTGGAGATAGAAGATTAGACAGGCGAGGATGATGGCGAGGAAGATGAGGCCGAAGACGACGGTGAGGGCGATGTTGGCTTTTGTCCAGTACCCTGAGTAGGGTACTGAAGCTAGGTCTTCATCTGCGACGAGGTTGTTGTCTACTGGTATAGGTGACATGGTGATGTGTGTTCGTGTAGGCGAAAGGTCTTTGATTCGAATCGGTCGGTGAAAGTTCAGATGGATGGTGAAGCTCTTTGCTTATATGTAGTGCTAGATAGGAGGCGATGTGTCGGTGCGGTGAAGATATAACAACTACTACGCCTCGAAAATATGATGGTATATAGCTATGAGACTGTTGAGACGAACTTGCTCGAGTAATCCCTTATGTGCTATTGCTATGAACTGGTACCGGGCACCAGGCAGACATAAGTCTCTCCGTAAAATGAAACCTTTGACGCACCGGCCTTAGATCCTGCGCCCATGGCGCTGGATCCGTGAGAAGGCGTCCAGTATGCGGCTCGAAAGTGGGAAAGATATGCTCAGCCTCAGCACGTTGTGGGGAAAGTAGGCCCATGAATTCGGAGAAAAGTCACTGCGCCCCTGTGGTATGATGAGCAGCTTGGCGCAAAACAAGAGGCCTAACGAATGATGGGCGTCGAGAACGGCCGTCGAAGCTTGGACTACCGCGTCTAATCGAGGAATCAGAAGGAGCTGGGTGGCATTCTGGTGGTGGCACGGGTTCGTAGACGGCGGTGACGGGGATGCATGTCGGGGCCCCATCTGTTGTCAGTCCACTTGGGGATGGTTCTCTACCGCGTGCGAGCCACGTCCGAGCGGTTTCGCTCGTTCTGTCTACGCAGCTGAAGCTATCACTTCAGCTCGTGGAACCATACAAATTGAGTGGCTGCTCTTTTGAACAACTCCCCATTCCAGCTTCCTGCCACACAACATCAACACAGATTCGGCGGCCCAATACGAGGGCCTCTACAAAGACAGTGATGTGCCAAAGGGTTGTGCTGTAGGATCAACGTTTCGAAATTTAGGCAAGCACAGCCACCTGCGCTAAAAGAAATGAGCAGCAACAATCATGAATCGACACAAGGCTGAGCGCCTTACACTTCCTCTGCGTGTCTGCCTGAGTCAAGCCCAAGGAGGATTGGACGGCGACGTGGGCAAATTGTGGGGTGAGAATAGGCGAACTTGTTACGGTAAAGGAAAGCCATGATGCGAGTTGTCAAGCTCCCGCTGCGGCGCGTCATTGTAGAGATCGTGGGATGGAAGTTGGTGGCTACTGGACGCCACAGCAGTGTATTTGCGGCGTGTCTGCGGCGACCATGCGGCGTGGTGGTGTCAGACCCTCATCTTATGCGTGCGCTGGCTGTTGAGTGGGAGCTTGCTGGCCAACGGGTGAGTGTGGTGTTGACGGCTGGCCTAACAACAGCGGGACGATGGACGATGTTGGCTGGCCCCCAACTAGCGTTCTCGCTAAAATGCGGTGCTATTCCTGGATCAAGTCACGCCTTTGCGGTCAAATCTCGCTAGCTTTCTTGCTCTACACCGATAACTGTGAAAGCGTAGATACAGTCTGGTATCGAGAATTTCTTTTGGTGCTTATTGTACAGCTGCGAGCAAGAGGTCAAGACAACATTCGTTGTTCGTAGGGATTCACTCAGCAGCCGCCCGTGGTTGTGAGACCTCACACGACCAATTAGGGGTTGCCGCATGGCGTTCTCGAGCTGCAAGAGTTGATGAAATCACATTGATCTTTACTTCCCCACTTTCTACATCAATACACATCTAACATCACTCCCTCTCTTCCTATTCTCAAGGAAAGGTAGCATCATCGTAATTCACGATGAATCCCCTTCCATGCATGTTTTTCCATCGCAAGGAAGGCTACTCCTGGCAAAAGGGGACCGAACCTGCACCTGATGACCCCCTTCAATCCATCGCCATCAACGTATCTCAACCTGACGCTCTTATGACTTGGCTCGAGACAAATGACGCTGCTGTCATCTCTGACCTTACCGTCTTTGTCGACGCGACCGACCACGCACCTAGTCCTCAGCGATGGTGCTTGCTTTTCGACAAACTTCAACGAGAAGCAACCAAAATCCAGGATCTGAGTGTCTACTGGGACGCAGAGGGTCATCGTGTTGGGCTGGGTAAGAGCGTCGTTTTTATACGCGGACTGGCACAGCTCAAGGCGGAGAGATCGGTGGAGATTGGTGGGCAATATGCTATGCACTGGCCCAGATACTTGGAAGAAAAGATGGGCTTGAAGCCGGTTAATAAAGATATCTTTCCAGGCAGTCCATGGGTAGGCATCTTGAGGAAGTATCAGAGAGGGACCGAGAGCCGGTATCCTTGAGTTCATACTGATGATGGAAATGGGGACGTCTGAGACGCATGGACTTCACTGGTCTCCTCAAAGCTTTACACTCTTTATTTATCCTTCCCTGTAGGCTCCAGAGTACTCTGGCTTCCCCTACCCAGATAGGTTAACGTGTTACAACCGTCAGATATATCCCCATCCCACAACCCTCGACTAAAAAATCCGAGACCCAAAAGGATACCCACCATGAACATAATCCCTAACCCACTCAGCCCTCACAATCTCCTTCAACAGCATCGCACTCCCCTCCTTCTCCACCCCATCAATCCACCGATCAATCCACTTCCCATCACCCGCCTTACCAAAATGCTCTACACACTGTCCAAACCCCACCTTCAACTGACTAGCCTTATGCACCTCGACCCATTCCGGACAAACACGCTGCATCTCTTCCAGGAAAAACTGTCTAAGCTTTACTTGCGTTTTGTACTCCTCATTAACATATTCGATGTTGAGGTAGGCAAATACTGCTGCGGTAGCGTCGGTCAAGTCTAGGAAGGAGGGGAGTTGGCATGCGAGCCATAGGGGGGCGGTGTGAGTGCATTCCCAGGAGGGGATACCGGTTAAGGAGCCGTTGGGGTCGACGAGGATGTTGGCTGCGTGGAGGTTGTGGTGGTGAAGGACAAACATTTCTTCGTTGTTTTCCTCCTCGGGGAAAATCTTGGGCATGAGATCAAGCAGGCGTTGGGCTCGCTGCTTACCTTCTTCGACCTTTTCACGGGCATATGCAAGGTGCGGCGCTGTATCCATTCCATCGATTTGTTTCTTCCATATCGTGGTGGCCGCTTCGTCAGGCTCACCGGGATAAGAATCGATGATGTTTTGGTATATCGAGCGCTTGATTTCAT